TGTGTTTTCTCTAGCAGTGTCAGAAAAGAGCATTTAAATATTATCCTATATCTTCGTTAATGTGAGACTTGTGGAACCCAAGTTGTAAGACTCCCCAGCAAGTTGGCAAAGACCAGGTGTAACGTGTGCAGTAATGGTTGAAAGTTTGCTAAAAAAACATTTCTCAGTTGTTCCTAGCTTTGCTGTGGTGTGTGAATGCTTGGGAAGCTTAGGGGACTAGCAGTGCACTCCATATTAGGGTAACAATTTAAGCATCTCTTTTTTCACATATTCTTCTGCATCTGTTTCTACTTTCTGCATGGCTTTTCGCCAAGGGTTCTGAATATTCACAACATTGCTTAATTAGATCATTCTCAAAATACCTTTGTTCACAGAACTGGAGTACATTTTTTAAAATGGGGATAGAATTTTTAAAAAATACTTTCAAAAAAACCCTGAAATGAAAGGCATCAGTTGGTGTGGAATGATGTGGCTACTCCCATAATCATGCATAGGTAGCTTGGTAAAATCTGTTCTTCAGCCATCCCAAAGTGAAAGGGAGAGGTGAAAGAAGAAATTATACCATGATGGAGAGTGAGAATGATGATGACTGTATCTCAAAATATGAATGCTTAGACTGGAGGGATACGAAGACAGAGCCAGTCCCAGGTATTCTAGGACAGACCTCATGAATGTCGGTCTATTTAATTTAATTTACTTAATTGATAGTTCACATTTCTCACTAAGACTTGAGATGGGATTAGGGTTGCCAGCCCCCCAATCCGAGGGGGTGTTTCTCCGCTTTTGCGAGCTCCTCCCTGCCCACAAATGCCCCAGAACACAACACAATGTCACCTGGAAGTTACATCAACACGTCACTGTCACACGGTAATGCTTTAGTTTTTGGGCAAAACTCTGGTAAATTTGGGCTCAAACCATAGAGTTTTGCCCCAAAACTAGAACATTGCCGTGCGGTGGTGGTGATGTCATCGCTTCCGGGTGATGTCATTGCAAAGCGTGCACAGCAGAAGATCCCAGCAAGACCCAAAGATCTCCCCACCAGGAAGAAGGTAGGACCTGGCAAACTTAGGTGGGATCACACAATTTAAAATATTGCAAAAGGAGCAGTGTAATACATACAGCCGATGGCGCAATAAAACTAGATTACAAAATTAAAGAACAGCATAATAAAACAGTTTAATGCATACAGTAAAAACAATAGAATACATATGAGCAATGAAACCAGACAGGATTAGAAAAACTGCAGAAAGAAAAGCTGCCTAGCATTAACTGTAACCCTGCTCCTTTCATAAAATTGCTGTTCTTCAACAGTTCTGGTTTTGCATATTCTGCAATGATAAAAGCATGGGAGATTCCATACCTAACGCCATGGAAGAATACAGAATCATGACAAATGGGCCCTCAAGCAATGCTTCGATAGATACTTTGAAGTATGAGGGATATGGAAACATCATTTAGTTCCCATTTATTGGCGGTCCTAATTGAGATTTTTTTACACCCTGACCTTGATAGCCCAGGCTAGACCAGTCTTGTCAGATCTCAGAAGCAAAGCAGGGCCGATCCTGGTCAGTATTTGGATGGGAGACCACCAAGGATGTCCATGGCTATTACTCAGAGGCAGGCAATGGCAAACCACCTCTGAACATCTCTTGCCTTCAAAACCCTATGGGGTCGCCATAAGTCGGCTGCAACTTAATGGCACTTTCCACTGCCACTAATTGAGATTTTAAATTGCGGGTTTTTATGGGCATGTTTTAATGCTTTATTTACATTGTAAGCTGCCTTGAGTTCTGCAAGGTAGAAAAGCGGCCAATAAAACATTTTAAATAAATTTTCACAAGCATAGCAGAGTCCAGCGCAACAAAGAGCTTTGCTTAATTAGGTCTTTATTTATTTGAACATATTTATGCTGCCTTTCTACCCAATTCAGGATTCCCAAGGTGGCAAACAATCAAAACCATTAACACAGCTTTTAAAAATACATATTATAAAACCAATTAAAAACAGTTAAGCAAAACACATAAGCAGTTAAAACTCATAAACAGGAAGGGGGGAGTCTTTACCCGCTGGTGGGAGACAATGACCAAAGGGGACAAACCACTTCACTTCACGTTGGCAGTTTGGCAAGCATTGCCACTCCCAAACTTGGCCCAGGACTTTTAGTTGCTTGGGTCTACATTAGGGCACTAGCATTTTAAAAATCCATATCTTTCATAGCCCCCTGAAGTGTGTAAAATGGGGATCCATTGGCTCCCACCCTCTTTAGGAGAGGATTAGGAAAGAAGTATGAGTTGTCTACAGGATAATGTTGGCTGAAAGTAGTTATGCTTGTTTATGAAAGATGTGACTTCTCCATGTTCAGTCTAGCTTAGTTGTATTGCATGGCCAGTCATCTGTCTGTACTCTGTTTCTGAAAGTTGTCCTGTACCCTCAATAGTTCAGAAAGCTTATAGCAACATGGAGTGCTAACAGAAGGTTTTGTTTGCTCCCTTCTGTTCTGTTCCAGCTTCTGACATCCTGTAATGTCCCTAAGATATTATTAAGGACACCCTGTACATTCCGTAGGCAGAATTTTCTGTGTCATTAGGAATTATATCCTTTGACATTCCCGCCTGGAATATTGTATGTCAGTGTGTTCAAGTTAAAAGACCCGCTGTTGCAAGTGATGCCGATGATCCTTTAACAAGAGCCGTCCTTGAATTAAGAAAAGCAATAGCTGTCCGTTTACAGAGATACTCTTACATGGTATACTTTCAAGACAATTTGAATAAAAGATTTCTTCTCCCTCCTTCCTCCCTAAAGAGTGGAAAATCTGGTCCAGAAAGGTGTTTAGAAACTCGAGGCCTAACAAGAGCAGTATTGAAGCTGTACTGTGGTGTTCTTTCAGTATTGCCTTTTCTACCCCTTCCTCTGCTTTAGCATGATGCAGGCAGGCCTCTTATTGTGGCAGGAGACCTCCTGTTGGCAGTTCACACTTCTGGCATTCGGTTGCCTAGTAACAGAAAAACTAATGTGACATCACTTCCAGGGAAAACACAGAAGTGCCATCATGTTGCTCTAGGTCTAGGATTTGCCTGAAACTCTATGGTTTAGAGCACCCTGTCCTTTGTCCCCACCTGCCCCCTTCCCTAGCATGATATGATTGAATTATGCAGTTGTTGGTGTGCTTTCGAGCTGAAAGTGGCTATCCGGGGCATTATTTGCTAAAGGGTTGGAAGTAAGACCAGATTGATGTTACCCTGGCATTTTTCACTGTTTGTTGAGTAACAGCCGAAGATAAAATAACCATAAAAATATGCTAGGCACTTAGATTTTTCTGAAATTGCAGACTTTTTATTTTAAAATGATGTCCTGAATGTTGGAAATGTAGATTACATAAATCCGAAATAGTGATAGAAGGTATAAAAATAGTACTAGAATGATAGCTTGGAATTTGCATTACAGAGTCAAGAATATCCAAATGAATATGTTGTGTGATATTTTTATTGATGATGTTATCTGTGTCCTAGATATTACTCAGTATGTTGGAGAATCCTGTGTTTTATGTACTAATGTGACTAAGCACTAAGTTGGGGGGTTTATGAGCTTCCTGGAGCTTCTAAGCAGTTCAGTGAGCCAAGGTCGTGGAGAACTGGCATGCCAGTGTGTTCTCATGTTTATACTTCTTAAATTACTTGATGTCACATTGACCTAGACATTACTTTAAAAAAAGAAAAGAAAGAAAAGCTGTCCTGGGAAGACAGAGTGTTTAGCTATGCAGCCATAAAAACTTAGCTATCTTAGAAGTTAATGATATGAAATTTAAGTTTTGATGTTTGATCATTCTTCCAAAAAGAAAAATCCGCTTCTATATTTTTCCATGAGAATTTTCTGTCCTGCATATGTAAATATTTTTATTTTATTTAAAACATTTATTAGCCGCCTTTCTCCCTTGTAGCAATCAAGGCAGCTTACAATATAAATAAAACATTATAAAAACATAGTAAAAACAACTATTATAAAACCCATAAAAGTCACCGTTTAAAAACTCCAGTTAGGACACCAATGATGAAAGCGAAATCAATCATAAATGCAGTCCTAAATAAAACTTTCTTCACCTGCCTCCTCCTGACAGACAGGGAGGCACACCTCCCTGGAGAGGTTGTTCCATAATTAGGGGGTGCCACAGAAAAGGCCCTCTCTCATGTACCCACCAAGGGAGCGTCTGTAATTGGAGGGACAGTTAGGAAGGCATCTCCCCACGATCTTAACTCCAGGGCAAGAATGTCTGAGAGAAGATGGCCCTTCAGATATCCTGGGCCCAAACTGCATAGGGCTTTAAAGGACAAAGCCAACACCTTGAAGTGGTCTCAGGAGTGGATCAGTAGCTAGTGAAATTGCTGTAGTATTGGGACGTATGCTTCTGATAGCTGGTCCCGACCAGCAGTTTAGCCTTCTTGCACTAGCTTCAGCCTCTGAACATTCTTCAATGGTAGACCCAAGTGGAGTGCATTGCAATAGTCCAGTCTAGATGTTACTAGACATGGATCACTGTGGCTATATCTGAGTGACCCAGGAATGGGCACAGTTGACGCCTCAGCCGGAGCTGCGTAAACACACTCCAGGCCAAAGCATCCCCCTAGTTTTCAAAAGTGACTGATCTGTCAGGCAGTATTCCCAAATTGCTAACCTGTATTTTCAAGGGGAGTATAACCCCACCTAGGAGATTTGAAGTCCCAGGTCTTAATTTCTACTAACCCAGAGAACCTCTGTCTTGTCAGGATTAAGTTTCAGCTTGTTCACCCTCATCCAGCCCATTACTGACTCCAAGCACTGGTTCAGAACATCAACAATATTAATGATACTGCTTGAGTACCATGCTAAGAGGGAAATGTAACTTGTGGGACATGGCTGTGTTTTGAATGTTTCTGTGCGCAAATACAATATTTATGCTAGAGAGGACCCTTAAATATATTCTGTTCATTCAGAGGTTTCTAATAATGTGCACTTTTTTGTTACAGCTTCCTGTAAATGTTCATTAATAGCACAACGGGCAGAACTGTGTACAGCTATGAAGAATTATCAGCAAGCCCTTTATGATGCGGAGGCCCTCTGCCGAAATAAGCCCCACTGGCCTAAGGTATGACATGTCTGAGCTGCTGAAAAAGGAAATTTGAGGTATATAAGAAAGAAGCTTTGTGTGCTTGTGAGGACACAGGGATTTGTTTCCAACACAGTGAAGCGTTATACTTCTGTATGAAAAATGAAGCTTGTGGTAGAACCATTCGGGTCAGCTGTTGTGTCCTAAGATATTTTGTTTGGCTTGAGCACTGGTCCCTCTTTCTGCCAAAGCATACAAAGAAAGGCATGAGTTTAGGTGTGATGGCAGGTCATAATTTGCTGCTACATGAATGAGTCTTGAAAGAGCTTCAGGCTCACTCGTCCTCCTCTTCATTTCATTCCCCTTGAGTATGGTAAGAAGAAGAGTTGGTTTTTATACCCTGCTCTTCACTATCTGAAGGAGTCTCGGAGTGGCTTACAATTCCCCTCCCCACAACAGACACCCTGTGAGGTAGGTGGGGCTGAGGGAGCTCTGAGAGAACAGCTCTGAAAGAAATTGCAACTGACCCAAGATCACACCGGCAGCTGCATGTGGAGGAGTGGGGCATCAAACCTGATTTTCCCAGATTAGTCCACTGCTCTTAACCACTACACCAGGCTGGTGAGAGAACTGATTAATCCATTTTTGTAGCAAATCTTAGCTGCTGTTTACATCTGAACCAGCAAGCTGGAGTTTGTATTTGCCCTGCAAACCAAGAACAAGATTCAGACAAGGACGAAGTCCCATTAGGAATTCTTTTTGGCAATGAAAGCACAAGCCTAGTTTGCCAGTTCGGGTATAATGGAAACCTATAGTCTGCCATGAAATTAAATTATCTAATGTCTAGGGAGGAATCCTTTGCACAAGGGAGCCTGAAGCTATTTTAAGGCTTGTTTGTATAGTGCTAAACCTTGATTAGCTATTGTCTGAACTATGCTAAAATGTCAAGGATCAGAACCATAGCTGCTCCTAGTTTTTAACATGGTTACTCCAAAATAGCTCTGTTCTGACCAGAGTATGGGGCTTTGTAATCTGCTTTTTCTTTCTTTTTTTTGCACTGAGTAATTCCAACACTTTACCAAGACTGTAATGCCTTTTCCTTCTTAGAAAACGGAAGCATTAACAACCAGCCTTGGTGAGGGTAAATGAAGGAAGCATTGTGAAGCACTTTGATCACTAGAAATTAGATCTGAAATTACTGTTTTAAGTATTTAGCAGGTTATCAAAGTTTTAAAATCATTCTGTGAGTTACATTTACACTTTATTTGTTAACATTTGCGTTAATTTAAATTTCTCTAAATGGCTTGCCTTCCCTAATGTTTGACATCCTTTCGTGAGGTATTTCTTTTTTAATGAAATGAAAAGCTTTTTAGGATTCATAGATTATTTGGTAAATACATTACAGTTTGCAGCCTGTGCTGAAATAAGTCTCTTACATGTATACAGGGCCATTATGTGAAAGCACAAGCTCTTTCTGGATTAGGAAGGATTGAAGAAGCATTGAAGGAGTTTCTTTATTGTGTTGCCTTAAATCCTGAATGGAGCTCAATGAAGATGGAAGCCCAAAAGGTACGCTAATTCTACAAAGTTTACATCTGACATACATTTTGTGTGTTGTATTTGAAAATAATAATTTGACTAACGGCTTCCATGGTAGAATCTGTGAACAGTTTGATGTTAAAAGCTGACCACTAGCTAACTTGTTTTTACCTTGGGGACAGTTCATGGTATTACCCACGTGGGAATTATTGTTGCTCTGGTAACTTAATTCAGTCTAATGAAACCCCTTGGTGATTTATATAATCACACTGTACGTTATTCTCTTCTATGTCTATTGATCTGCAGCTGGCGGCCCTCAAGCTACGTCTAGCTTGCCACAGGCTTGCCAAATAGGGAAGCATCCACATATTCTCCAGTCTTTCCCTTGCGACAGGGGCCTGCTATAGCTTTTCAGGAAGCAGAACACCGTGTATGCAAAATAGAATAACACTCAATGTTAAATGTAACGTTTCTGTTATCCTACAACATTTTCGACATTACTTTTGTAGCTCTTTTCAGTATTATACACACATTGAATCTGTTAATGTTTTGCTCATTTATTCCATACATTACATTAAACATTGAGTGTTGTTATATTTGCATACATGGTGTTGTATAGCCTTCTGCTTTCTTTTGTTTGTACACTATGGTCCCGTTTGTTTTTGCTATAGCTTTTCAGCCCAAGCCTTCAGGAACACGCACAGGTTATTGTGAGGAAGCAATTGACTCAAGAAGCCTGTGTCTCCTGGCTATAACAGAGGCTTTAGGTGTGGTCTTCCAGATGATATTGTCATGCATTTTGGCCATCTTCTGGGTTTCCCCTGGCTTTGCTGTGTTTTTTCCCCCAAGCCTGCTTTCCTCCATCTGGGGGAAAAGTCCTTCCCATGTGAAGACTGTTGCTTTTCTGTACCTTGGTCCCGGTCACACGGGCCGGAAAATGCGGGGGGGAAGCGTGGCTGTTTGCCTTGGAGCAAACTAATGCACGGCTGCCGGATCACACGTCCTGCCGACGTCCCGTGGTTCGGGGGGAGGTGCCGATCACACGACAATCCTGCGGTGTGGCAAAGAAGCGGCGCGGCACGATCACAGCAGCAATGGCTAGGCGCCGCTGCCGTGGCATACGGGGTTGTGGTTTTTTTTAAACCAAAGTGTCCGCACGTGCCGTTGGGTGCATGTGCGCATCCTGTGGAGACTTGGGGGGGGATTTTTGCAACGGGACATGGGCGGGCGCCGGATGCCACGAACTACCACCAGAAACACGATCAGACTCCCGCCCTTGCCCCGCGGTTTCCGGAAACTAGTACCTTGGAGGTACTAGTTTTTTACGCCGCATCTTTGGCGGGAAGCCTCGGGTTAGCCACGGGAGCTCCACGCTTCCCAGATGTTGCGGTGTGATTGCGCCTGGAAAATCCACCTATCTTCCGTCTGTGTAGCGTGGCTAATGCTCCGTGTGACCGCAGCCCTTCTGTTGCTTCAAATGGAAACACAACAAGTGCTTGTGCGGAAGCAACCAAAAAGGGAACAAGAGGATGGTCTCTCTTAAGTGTTTCCTCTCCTGTCTGCAGTTTCTTCTGGCAACCATAGCATGTGATTGTGACATTTTGAGGGGGGGGGAGCAATTATGATGGATTGTGTTCCTCTTGTTCCCCTGTATGATCAAGCAACTGAGCAATGTGGTACATATACCTTTATTCCTCTAGTGCCCTTAGTTTGCAGATTATCCTGCACATGACTTGCTTTATGTAACAATACTCTTATATTTGTATGTTTTTTCTGTCTTTGTCTAGATAATGTGTGAGATGTTTTTTCCAGCCTTTGAAAATGTGCACGATACTCTAACAACTCCTTTTTGCAATCGTACCTCTTATACAAGGCTGAAGCCTGCGTTTCTAAGTAGCATAAATACCCAGTCTTCTACAGAGGATGGGCTAACTGAAGAGAGCTCAAAGGTGAGGGTTTGGACAAACATGCTTTTAAAAGGAGGAGGAAGGGGATCCTAAACCTCTTGCTTAACTTGCATGACTGTAGCCTTTGCTGTTTGTATTAGTTCAGAGCACAGTGTTCAGAGGTACGTTGGTTTCCCAAGCTGGATAACATGAGAGCTGAATACACAAAATAATACATGCTTCTCAGACAAAGTTTATGAATGATGGAGAATGGAATACTCAGTCCCTGTTGTCGTTAAATAATTAATTTTAAATTTGCAAATTTGGGTGTTCCATCTAAAACATTCCAGGGAAGCTTGCGGTTCATACAGACTCCAGCAAAGTTAAAGAGTAGGAGGGAAAGGTACAAAATTTGGGGTGTCCAGTAATTCCACTCCTGGAGCTCTGAAGGAGCAACTTGTTGTATTGATTTTTGTGTTGAAAAATGATCTGCATATTAATTCTAATTGAGGCATCTGGGATAAGCAGGCAATATTTGTCCTGGCACAAATCCAGTAGTCTGGCATAGGTCCAAGCGCTGTCATTCTGCTGTGCTGGTGGACCCTGAAGGTATTTATTGCAAAACCAAAAAAGAAAGAAAAGAAGTCTGAGTCATATTTTCTATCTTATTTCAGGAGACTGTCTTGCGGTTAACAAAAACCCCGTCCCAGGATACTGATGTCTTTCGAAATACTGATTCTTCTGTTTCCCAACATATACTAGATGTGTATTTTGAAGATAAAAAAACTCTGGGAACAGTACTCTCTAATCTACCTGGTGCAAGCTTAAAAAGAAAGTTCTCTAGTGATGTGGGAGATTTACAGAATTTAGATGTCCCTAGCAAAATTCCTAGAAAAGGTTGGTTTCATTCTGAATGGCTTTTTCCTTTTGGTTCCTTTCTTTATTGCAAAAGAAACATACCATTTTGGTTCTTCTAAATGGCTTCACAAATAGTTTCAGCAGTTTCTGTTCTAATTTGGGTAAGCTACAGTGCTTGAATATGTATAATATTTTATACAATACTTCATGTAAATATTGAGGTGGTTCTGGAGAGGCAGCATACAAATTTTCTAAATATATATGCTGCACTAATAGGATTCTGGGGGTTGTATACTTTTAAACAGGGGTCTTTTGTAGAAAAAGAGCTGCAGGAGCTCATTAGCATAACACATTAGCATATGCCACACCCCTGACACCACCAGAAGTGAGTCATAAGGCCACGCCCCCTGACATCACCGGAACTGTGTCAGAAGGGAACGCCCACCGCTCAGGCTCCACCCCAAAAATCTCCAGATATTTCCCAACTCAGAGCTGGCGAGCCTACCTGGAGAAAAACTGCTTCAAAAGCACAAAACAAAATGAAGAGGAAGGAACATGTACAAAGTGCACATTTCTTGCCAGTGTTCTTTCTGGGCTGCACACAGGGCAAAAAGAAATTTTAAAGTGTCTCTCCTACTGGACTCTTACTTTTTCTACTGCTGTTACAAACCACAACGTTAAAAAACCAGTGGGGGAAAATTTTAACCTTCCAGGACATTCAGTTGCAGACCTAAAAGTGGCAGTTCTCTTAGGCATTTCAAAGGGAGATTAGAAAGAGACTGCTGAATTGCAATTGATAATGAAGCTCAAGACAATGCAAACTCCTGGACTGAACTGAGACCTAGGTTGTTTCTCTCATTAACAATGCCATTGTCATTTGGCATCTGAAATCACTTCACTCTCCACGATGTAAGGAGAGATGGACTCACATTCCAGCTGTATATGAATAAGTGAGCAATGATTCATGAAAGCTCATGCCCTGTCACAGGGGTCATTTTGTAGAAAAAGAGCTAGGGGAACTCATTAGATAACTAATTAGCATATGCCACACCCCCTGACATCACCAGAAGTGTGTCATAAGGCCACCCCCCCTGACATCACCGGAAATGTGTCATAAGGCCACACACCCCGCCCCCAACGGTCCCGGCCACCACCGCCGGCCTTGCAGCTCCACTGCCGAGCCCCGTGAGGGGCCCGGCGGTGGACCTGCAAGGCCGGCGGGAGTGCAAGGAAGCCCCGCGAAGGCCCT